ATTCCTGTTACAAACCCAGAACCGGCAAAGAAAAGACTCTCATGGCATATCAAAAACTTAAATATTTTCCAATCACACCTAGACAACAGATGTTATTCAAGTCACGAAAGACTACTAAGCACATGACATGGCACTAGTCACATCATGTGGTTGATGGAGTGATGGTGCATCCTTCTGATAGGGAAGCATGGAAACACTTTAATAGTGTGCATCTTCACTTTTCTGCTAAATCAAGGAACATGCGTTTTGGTTGTGTATAGATGGATTCAATCCATTCAGGTCATTTACTGCTCCTTATTATTATTGGCCGGTCATGCTGATGGTTTATAACTTACAACCAGGGATGTGCATGAGGCTGGAGTTCATGTTTTTATCTATACTCATAGTAGGTCTGAGCATTTCGAGGTGAAATATAGATGTTTGTCTTCAACTATTGATTAATAAGTTGATGTAGTTGTGGTTTTCTAGAGCTTTGACTTGTGATATCTGGAGAAAACAAAATTTTGTTATGAGAGCAGCTTTGGTGTGGACTATTAATGATTTTTCAGCTTATGGAATGGTTTCTGGTTGGAGCACGCATGAAAAACTGGCATGTCCATGCTGTATGGAAAATGACAAGGCATTCACGCTAACAAACGGGGCTAAAGCTTCTTTTTTTTATTACTGTCACCATTGTTTCTTGCCACCGAATCACATGTATAGAAAGAACAAAAATGATTTATTTGTTGGCATTGAACACCAGTTCATTTCTTGCCTTCCACGTTGATGATCAAGAATTGAGGTAGCTAACGAGGCAAATAATTTCGTTCAGAAACCATCGAGAATTAAGGAAAAGAACAAATTAAGTTGGGCAAGGTTATCGTTTTGTTGTCTTAGAAGATCTAAAGGAAAATATAAATAAGGATCAGAAAGAATCCCTTGTTTAGTAACTAGAAACTAATGCAAGAGTAGAAGCGATACAATAAGGAATCTAATCAATCCATCCCATCTTCTAACTCCTAGGAGCCAAACGAGACGAGTTCTCTAAAAGAAATGCTTCAAATATATATATCCAGAGATGATAAAGTTCAAGCGGCTAGGTATATGTAGGACACCATATAGAATAAGTATATCAATGGTGTGATGCCAAATCAAGACATCTAGTTTCCAGCTCCAGGACTGGGGACGGACTGCAAAATTCGATCGATTTTGGAAACTTGGGACGTGATGAACCTTTTACCGATGACTATTGATTGCGCATCACGAACAGGGGAAAAAGATGGTGTAAACTTGTCTTCCAAAGTAGGATTGTCTTTCTTCTCCAGGCTCAGTAACTTTCTGGCTTCAAAAGACGGTACATGAAAGATCAAAATGAGTATGAAGATGAATGCCATTGTGCTTAGACGAGCCATTATGAAAAACTTGCTACACAAAGAATTAAATCTGGGTTATATATGTAGCAGAGGAGATATGTGACACATGTTGGATGGTAGCTATTTATAAGCATGTGTATAAGGTGAGAGAGGCGAAAGTTTCAAGCTATCAGTGGCTAAGTCAATAACTGTGGAGTTGACAAAAGAATATCTTAAGTTCGTTGATTTCGCTACACGAAATTTGCAGGCCTGTCTAAAAAATGCCTCGTGGAATTGAGTTAATTTGGAACATTTGAAGAACGTTGCCGGCCTTCCATGATTTCTTGGTAATTTGTTCTTCCTACCAGTACTCCTGTAAGAGTCCTGATTGCCGGGGGTCCGAGAATCTTACTCGTGACCGTCACACTTTCATTTCTCCATTCTACACATCAATTTAGTCCTTGTGACCAAATCACGTAGATAGATCATAATTTCTATCTTGATTAATTTATTTTGATTGACTTTTAAAGAATCTCAACTCAGAAGTTTTTAAATTGTTAAGTGAGTTTTTAAGAATTGTTTTATATTCATTATGAGACTGAATTATCTTAAGATTATTATTATCTAAATAATAATTTTTCACACTTTTTAAAGAAAAATACTATCTTCTACTGGAATCACAATGCACTGTAGTTTTCGTAGATTGGAGGAAAAACATTAAAATTAAATTGAAATTAAAAGAATAACTAGAAGTATTTCGTACACCTCAAACAACTGAATATAGCTCTTTTTTATAAATAGAGTTGAATATATATATATATATATATATACACACGGAAAAACAGCTGCAAAGACCAAATTATCAAATACGGAAAAACAGCTGCAAAGACCCCATTATCAAATTAAATTATGGGATCGACGAAAATATATTGTCTGATAAAAATGGGAGAGAATGAAATAAAAAATAATGTCTCTAGAAGTTCTTTGATGTCACTTACTACATATGAAATATAATAATCTCAATCTAAAAGATTCTAACTATCCTTTTTGAATGAAGTGAATGCGGTCAATCGAATTCTTTTTGAACTAGAAAACACGAACGGTCAGGTTTATCTAAAGAGATTGTTCATATTATCATGGGATTAGCTTAGAATCTGAGACGCGACATTAGAAAGTGGACAAAAGAGAATTAGATAGAAAAATAGAGTCAATAAAAATTAAAATAATTAAAATATGCTTAAGAGATAAAATCGGATTAGATAAATAAAAAAATTTTATCAATAATTTTTATTGATAAAAATAATTTTATCTCTACTTTTGTTGGTATATATCGATAGACAATTGTTGACGAATTATATAAATTTTTGAAAAGTTATAATGGTATGATGACATACTTACAGAAAATTTTTTATCAGTAATTTCATTAGTAAAAGTCAATATATACTTACTTTGCCGACATTCTCTTCCTTTATTTCTCTTTCTTTTTCCCCTTCTTCTTTCCCATCCCACCTCTCCCCTCCCAAACTACAGCCAACCACCCATCCCAACTCTCTTTCTCTTCTCAACACAAGCACTCAAATTTCTTATACTTTTGTATATGGTCACAACATTCATTCTTGTGGATTTTATCATTTTTTGTAAGTAAATCTATTCTTTTTTTTAATATAAGTTTTTTTTAGTTTATTGGATAATATCAGGGCAAACTAATATTTTTGTTATGTTTATTGTATGTACTTGATTGATCGTTATTTGTCAAAGAAACTTGTAGTATGAATGTATAATTTTGTAGTTGTTATAATTTATTTTAGATTTTGTCAAATTATATTTGTTTGTAAATTTTTTAAATTTTATTTGAATTACACTAAATTAGTTATGTTGTGATGAAATAAATAATAGTTTGTTTAACAAGTCCATTTTAATTTTTATCAATTATATTGCGAAGTTATGATTTCCGTAAATTTATATATATATATAAATTTGTATGGAAGTTGATAGTTGATAGTTGATAATAAATATTTAATATAAGTGTTTTTTTAGTTTATTGGATAATATCGGGGCAAACTAATATTTTTGTTATGTTTATTTATGTAACATAGTTAATTAATACATATTGTCATCATAATTTTATAAATGTTTGATAGAGGTCATAGATAATCATTTATGGATGTATCGGGACTCACCCCAAAGATTGCAAAGGATAGATTATTGTAACAAAATTCAAGGTTTTATTAATTTTGCAATATCTATCCCAAGAAATTTTACTAATGACGGTATTAGGTATCCACGCAAGAAGTATAAAAATAAAAAGTTTCTGCATCAAGATGTTGTAACGATGCATCTTCTAATCAAAGAGTTCATTAAGGATTATCTGTATTGGTATGCACATAAACAACTATTTATTCCTAGTGAGAGCATGGTAGAAAGGGTGGTTGGGTCAACTTTTAGTGCTAGCAACGTGTATGAAGTTGGAAATAACAACAGTAATCCTTACAAGAACATGGTTATGGATGTAATAAGAATGAATGAAGGTAATGTCAGTGAATGTCCAATCATAGAAGAAGAACATAAAAACCTAATGCTGATGCAGCAAGTTTTTTTGATATATTGAAAGATTACGACAAACCATTATGGGATGACTGCATGAACCACAGTAAATTATCGGTTATAGCATAAATATTCACCATCAAGTCAAATCACCGGTTCAGTGAGGCTAGTTATGACAAGATTATTGAATGGACGAGAAGCATTTTACCTTAAAGGAATAGGCTGAAAGAAAACTACTATACTGCAAAGTCTATGATGAAACCCCTTGGTTTAGGATATTAAAAAATTGGTATGTGCTCTAACTTCTACATGATATAGTACCTTGAAAATGCTAAGTTAACTGAGTGTATGACATATGGGTATTCCTGTTACAAACCCAGAACAAACCCAGAACCGGCAAAGAAAAGACTCTCATGGCATATCAAAAACTTAAATATTTTCCAATCACACCTAGACAACAGATGTTATTCAAGTCACGAAAGACTACTAAGCACATGACATGGCACTAGTCACATCATGTGGTTGATGGAGTGATGGTGCATCCTTCTGATAGGGAAGCATGGAAACACTTTAATAGTGTGCATCTTCACTTTTCTGCTAAATCAAGGAACATGCGTTTTGGTTGTGTATAGATGGATTCAATCCATTCAGGTCATTTACTGCTCCTTATTATTATTGGCCGGTCATGCTGATGGTTTATAACTTACAACCAGGGATGTGCATGAGGCTGGAGTTCATGTTTTTATCTATACTCATAGTAGGTCTGAGCATTTCGAGGTGAAATATAGATGTTTGTCTTCAACTATTGATTAATAAGTTGATGTAGTTGTGGTTTTCTAGAGCTTTGACTTGTGATATCTGGAGAAAACAAAATTTTGTTATGAGAGCAGCTTTGGTGTGGACTATTAATGATTTTTCAGCTTATGGAATGGCTTCTGGTTGAAGCACGCATGGAAAACTAGCATGTCCATGCTGTATGGAAAATGACAAGGCATTCACGCTAACAAACGGGGCTAAAGCTTCTTTTTTTTATTACTGTCACCATTGTTTCTTGCCACCGAATCACATGTATAGAAAGAACAAAAATGATTTATTTGTTGGCAGAGTTGAAAAGGATGTTGCATCCTCAATTCTTTCTAGTGAAGACTTGTATGATGTTGTCTCAAGGTACGGTGACATAGTATTTAGTCTCCAATTAGATAAGTATAAGTTTCCTGGTTTTAGTTTGACTCATAATTGGATAAAGCGAACTATCTTTTACGAGCTTCCTTATTGGAAGACCAATCTTCTCTGTCATAACCTTGACATTATACATATTGAAAAGAACATGTTTGAGAACATTTTCAACACCGTCACAGATGTGAAGAGGAAGCCAAAAGACATAAAACTAAGAACAAGCTTCATGTTAGAAAAAAAAAATGCACAACTACTACTCTACAAATGACTTAAGAGTCTGTGTTTTCTCGATGGACATGCCTCGAACATATCAAGGCTGGTTAATACGGAGGAATGCAGATTATATGAAATGAAGAGTCATGATTGCCATGTGTTTATACAGAAAATCATCCCATTAGCTTTTCATGATTTGTTTGCAAATGGGATATGGGATGTACTCATGGAGATCAATCATTTCTTCATAGATATATGCTCCAACAAGTTGAATGTTGATTTTTTAAAAGGTTTGAAACAAATATCGTCAAGATAATATGCAAACCTGAAATGATATTCCTTCCATCATTTTTTGACTTAATAGAGCATCTACCCATACATTTACCGTTTGAGGTAAAAGTTAGAGGCCCGATTCAGTATAGATGGATGTATTCATTCGAGAGGTTAGATATTACAATTGCTATATAATTTATACTTAAATGTTTTTTCATTTTTTTAATTAATAATTTTTGTTTAATTCTATACATGCAGGTGCTTGTTTAATCTTAAAAAAAAAAAGGTTAAGAATAAGGTGTATGCTGAAGCGTTAATATGTGAGCCATATATTGTTGAAGAGATCTCAACATTTATCTCATACTATTTAGAACCTTATTTAAGAACGAGGATCAACCGTGTTCCACGACATAATAATGTTGGTGAAGGGCCTTTAAGTGAAAACTTGTCAATATTCTCTAATTCTGGACAACCCACACCTAAAAATATTGTGAGGGGAAGATATTTGTCTGAAATAGAGTTCAAACAAGCACACAATTATGTCCTATTTAACTATGATGAAGTGAGACATTTTATTAAGTAGATGTTCTACTTAAACTTTGGCAATAATATACTATTTATATATTGTGATAACATAAACTCATATAATTTGGAACAACCTTGCAGGCAACATCAACGATACTTACAGTCCAATAACTCATAATTGACTAAAACCCAAATCTTTCAATTACAAGATGAATAATTTACCACGTGATTTAGAACACAAGTAAGTCTTTTCACAAACTCATTATCTCTTGTTAAGTAATGAATTATATGTCAATATTATAGAATATCCATTTATTGATTATTATTTGATATACAAGATTTATCAAATGAGAGATAGGGCTGTTATTTCACTGTCTTTACTAAGCCTGGACCCTGAAAGAAAAGTCAAGTGCTATAATGGATATTTTGTCAATGGATATGTCTTTCATACTAAAGAATATAGGAATGGAAGAAAGACATATAATAATGGTGTTTATATTAAGGGATCGACTTCTAGTGAGTTTAAAGTTGACTACTATTGTAGATTAAAAGAGGTCATTGAACTGCAATATCATAGCGAGCAGAATAAAGTGTTTTTATTCAAATACTATTGGTATGACACAAATAACAGAGAAATCAGAGTAGATCCTCACTATGATCTCATTGAAATCAACTCAAAAGCTAGACTCTGCAATATAAACGATATCTTTGTTTTCGCAAAGTAATGCCAACAAGTTTATTACACATACACCCCTTCCTTTAAAAAATACAGATCAAAAGTTGATTGGTTATCCATTTTAAAAACCAAATCTAAGGGTCGTGTCGAGGTTGTTTAGGATGAAAACGAAGACACACATATGATAGATGAAGTATTTCAAGCTAGTGAGTTAGTTGAACCAAACCGAGTTTCTCCTTTAATTGACTTAAAACAAAATTAAATTTTTTTTTGTTTTCGATGATAGTCTTGTTGATGTTGACGCAGATGAGTTGGATGGTGTTTTGAACTCTAATGGACTAGAGAATATTGATGAAGAAGATAATAACCATATTAAAGAGTGCGATGAAGCTGATAACAATTCAATTGAGGACGAAGATAAAAATTCTAACTAAATATGTTATAAAGCCTTTTGTTTATATATAATGTAATGTTATGTATGATATTTTGGAACATGCAATATTTATTTTATAATTATTTGCTCTTGTTATTGTGTTGTGTGTGCTATAAGTTTGCAATTTAGGCATTTCTATAAGATGATAGAGAGGCAATACAAACAAAACATGCAAAAGCTTGACACAAACACTGACAGATAAACCGACGAAATGTGTCCCTTGATGTTTTACTGAGAGTTGTAAAAAAATTACAACATTGTGCTACAATTACTGATGGTTTTACTGACGAAATATGTCTCATATTTTACTAAGAGTTGCAAAAAAATTACAGCCCTTACCATAATCACCACCAGTTTTCCAATACAATCACCGATGAATGGTGCACATTCCAAAGCACATGACTATCACATTGCCTGGTCGATTGGCACCATTACCGACAGGATCACCGACAAACAAGACAAATCCAATGCGTCCGTACTCTGATACACAATTACCGACGGATTAAATCTAAAGGGATTTTTGTAATTTTAGTGAAAAATTCAATTAAATACTGACAAAATTTAATTCCACCACCCAAAAAAATATTATTCTATTTTTCATCGGTAATGCCATCAGAAAAATTTTAATATAAAACTGACCCCCCCTCCATGGTTCATTTTTTCTCAACACCTCTTCATTTCTTCTCTTCTCCTTCTGCAAATTATTTGCATGTAGCATTGTATTTTTATTGTTTTGATTGTAGTTTTCAACATATTAAAAGGTATGATTATCCTTTCTTTATCTTTGTATTTTTTGTACTTTTTTTATTTTAATTATGATTATTTTTATGGTGTTCGTTTTTTTTAGTATTGTTTATAGAAAAAATCTTGAAATCAACACACTATTAAGGTAAACATTTTCATTCCTAAAGTCTTTAGTTTTTTCTTTTTATTTGTTAAATTTATTTTATTATTTGTATTTCCATAATAATTGAAAATTTTGTTAAATTTGAATTGTTATTATTGAATTCACCTTTAAAATTTTAATTCAAATATAGAATTAAATTTAATTAGTTTATCTTAATTTTATTGTATTATTGTTTGTTATGTTTTTAATTATTTTAATTAATTTTAATTTTTATTTATGAATTTTTATAGATGTTAGGTGTTTAGAGTTGATTGTGCAATATTTGTGAAATTATTAATATTTGTATGTATGAAAACTGTAGGTAGTCTCTAACATAGGATAGGTGCTGGCAATTTTTTTTTTAAATGATTGAATTTAATTATTTAATTATTCATATAAATTTGTATAGATGTGCTAAATGAAAATTTAATTATTTTATTGTTTGTATTGTAATAATTATTTTATTCTATTATTGATTGTTCTGTTTTTTATTATTTTCATTAATTTTAATTGTCATTTATAGATTTCTATATATGTTAAATTTACATAGATGTTGGTTGTATATAAGATTGTCTAATAGAGTCAATTGGTTTGTGGTTGTTATAAAGATTTACAGGTTTGAAAACTATGGGTAGTCTCTAATATAGAGGAAGTGCTGCTGATTTTTTTCTAAATAATCAAATTTAATTATGTAATTATTACAGGTTTGAAAACTATGGGTAGTCTCTAATATAGAGGAAGTGCTGCTGATTTTTTTCTAAATAATCAAATTTAATTATGTAATTATTCATATAAATTTGTATAAAT